TGACCCGTGCGTACAGGACGTTACGCCCGCTGGATCACCGAATCACAACGCTAAAGGTCCAACGCTAAAGGCAATTTTGGTAGTTTCAATGTTGGTCTGCAGTTGATAAGTAGGTGGAGAGTTTCAGCTTTAGCTGCAGTTGATATGGCGAAAAGCAGCGGTATAGAGCGAGCAGAATGACGGCAAACTGTACGACAGCGGCGGCGACCATGATAGCTCGCTCGAGAAGGTTTAACTCTTGTTTTAGAGTGACTATTGTGATTGAGTAAACGCTCAGACCGGTCATGAAGGTGGTAGTGACAGTGACTATTGTGGTAAAAATACCGATAAAAAAGTTTGTCTCGCTGCATCTGTCAGCTTTGAACGGTGTCGCCCTCTATTAGGTCGTTTTGACAACTTTTTTTGTTTTATTGAAAAAATGCGATTTTGGAAACTTGGAACCCGATTTTATCATTAGGAATATAAGAATTAACCTGGTTTAAGCCTAATTTTAATAAAAAAGGGTGGAAGCACCGGCGGTCGAAACCGGGACCTTCCGCATGCGAAGCGGACGATCTACCACTGATCTATGCCCCCTCAACACTGTAGTACACCGTCAATAGCCTGCCTTTATACCTACAGTCAATGCATTCTCCCCTGCATCACAGTACTCACATTGAGAGAGTGCACTGGTCTATTGAGCCTCTGTGTATGCCTGTTTGTTTTTCTGGTCCTGTTTGTTTGTTGAACTCGGGGCCTTCCGCATGCGAAGCGGACGATCTACCACTGATCTATGTCCCCGCACTTACTAACACTTCCCTACAGTGATCATTTTAAGGGTGCAATGCCTTTGCAGGCGAAAAAAAAGTTCCAACAGCTACAAATTCCCTCCTGTGCGCCTGTGCACTGAAGGGGAACACTGCGTGGGGCTATATGCCCTCCTGTTTCCATTCAGTCAGTGCACGGTAGTGAGAAAGTAGGGACTTTTAATATGAGAAAACTTTTTGCTTCCATTGTGCAGTGAAGGAACACGAAGTAAAGAGAACAGATAAATGACAAAAGAGAGGGAAATGTTCTAAACTTGTGCGCCAAACTGTTTTTTAAAAATTGAGTAAAAACATAAATAGCATTGGGTTGTTTTGTTTTCTAATTACTTTAAATTTAAAAAGAAAAATACAATAAACATTTTTTCTGCTGTTTGTGCACTTGAAATTAATGAGTAAGTGCATTATTTCCTTTTATAAATTATGGTCAAAGTTAGTTGCTCATTAATAATTATTATAATTGTAGTTCTGAACAAAACGAGTATTTTAAAATTAAAATTAAAATAAATATATTTTTTGCACAACTTTTAAAACAGTGTTGTCAAAACTGTTTGTGATTTTACTTACGGTTTATTTTAAATTTTAAATTAAATAACTATCATATAGCACAATTTGAAATTTTTCTTAAGCGCAAACTTTTGAACCATGTTTTAAAAATGTCTTTTTTTAAATCATTTAAACAAAAAATTGAAAATCTGGTTGTCTGGCATGTAAACTCAATAGTATTTTATCTTGATCCATTGGCATCTACAAGAAAAACTGCTGCTACAATCCAAAAATTTCAAAAACATAACTTTACTTTTTTAATTCCAATTGTAAATAACATTATTGTTTTGCTTTACGGTGAACTTTACATGTTTTATTCCCATGCTGGCTATTTTGATTGGAACCTCTGGAAAACCAATCCCGTAGTAATGACACATCAAATATTTTTCCCCGGAACTTGGTTCCAAATTGACACTATTCTTGCCATTGCTACTGCAGCATCAACTGCAGTCATGGCAAATATTTCATCAAAACCCTTTGTTGATAGGTATTACCAAACTAGCGATAAAGTTTTGGTTATTGGTAAAAATAGTAAGCAATTTTTTTTAAAAAAAATGAATATACAATTTCAGCACAATTGCAATTTTAGAACTATCTTCAAGCGTTTCAGAAAGCATTTTGTCTGCACATACTAAGTTTGCAAAAGGGGCGAAATTGGGCGTCCTTGCGATGTACTGCATTGGCATGACGGCCACCAGTGTGCACGTTCTGTTCATCAATGCCGTTTACGAGGTGTCAGTGGGAGGGGCAGTGCTCTGGTTGGTCATCTATCCACTTTATATTTTTTACCTTGTTTACGGTATTACTTGTTGCATTGTTGTCATCATCATTTTTTCATTATTTTAATACGATATTTTTTAGTTTTAATTTGGGTAATTTCTTTTATCATTATGGCAAGCAAATTTTTTCACATTCGTCAACAGTTCATTTTAAAAGGGTTCAGCACTCTGAACAGTTATTTTGCTGATCAAGTGAAGAAAAAGAATAACCTTACAATCATTAAAATCTGGGAAATGTTTTTCACGACAAATCAGCAAATAGTTGGCCTATCTAGAGACATTTCTCAATACTCAATCTACTATTCTACACCACTTACATTGATGTGTCTGGTTTTTATTGCAGTGCAGTGTTACATTGTTTACATTTCAATTTTCATTCAAATGCCATTCCTAGCAAAAATTCATGGTCTGTTTATGGTGGTTGAAATGCTTCTGTTTCAGTACTTTCTCTTA